ATATACGCGAAAACGCGAGACTTCCTCGTGAAAATCATCGCTTAGAATTATTTACAAGCGGGTGCAGTTGGTCGGCGACCTGGTGCAATCATATACGCGAAAACGCGAGACTTCCTCGTGAAAATCATCGTCTGGAATTATTTACCAGCGGGTGCAGTTGGTCGGCGACTTGGTGCAGCAATATACTCGAAAATTTTCATACTTCCTCACGAGTAGCATTGTCTGGAACAATTTATAAGCTGGGGCCACGAGGCAGCGACCTTCCGTGATATTTTAATTAAAAGTATTAGAAGAAATCTTTCCCACGCTCGCTGTAGCGATAATTTAATATATAATTTTAATAATTTATTTTTTTGACATAACTAAACCATATTCTTATACATCAATGTTTTCTATTTATTAAAACCTTTATTTTGTGTATATTTCAAATAGTCGATTTTAAATCAAATTTCAAATTTCGCGCGCGTTTCCGTTCGCAGCGTTCCGTTCTGCAGTCACTTTTGTGAACCCTGATCGACACGATGCTTTCCTGACAGCCCAGCATTATTTTTTCTCGTGAACTCGAAATGAACAACGGATCGAACACTGGTTTACGAAGTGTATAAACTGTTGATTGATATTTCGCAATAGCAGGGAAACTTCGAGGCACACAATAACAAAGTGAAAGAGAGAGAGAGGTTGACGTTAAGATAGTGTTGTTTTTCTTGGATGCAACTTTTCGAGGTTATAGTACCGGCTGATCGCGGATATCTCGCAGCACATGCAACTCGCACTGACGTAAATAAAAATCGAAGAGTATATATAGGTATATAGCGTGTGCCGAGGCGCGCGTGGGAGGCAGCAAAACCGAGAGTACTATAGGCAACACGCCCGTGCTCTGTGTTGGCGGGATTGCCCTTGCCCAGGAGAATTTAACAAGGAGTAAGCCGCAGACTCGTGTCTGACTCTCGCAAACGCGCTGCCGCTAAGCTACTTTACGATGCAAAATGAATATGCATGCGTGTGTTTTTATCAATTTGGACTCGACACGTGTGCCCGAGTCAATGCGAAGAGTCAAGTACGCCAAAGAAAAAAAATGTCGCAGTGGAGCTCTCTTAAATATTCAATTTCACAAAATTCCAAGCTACATCAATCATCGAGGTCGCGGACGCGATAATCGTTATAACGCGGCGAGATAACATCGGGAGCCGTCGGGAAGAATAAATAGTTTCGGAGCTTAATTATCCGTAATCACTGCCTCCGTAAGAATAGAGACAATGGGTCGAATTAGCCGATAATAAAATCATCGCCTCTGGTCGATCGTAAAACAATGACATAAAGACGATGACTCGAGTGCAGCTCTCTGCTATTGTCTATTTTACACGGCTAATGGACACATATTTTTTTTACGTAACTTCGCAAAACGAAAATTTCGCAGAGGAACTGCAAAATTTTAGTCGTTGACGGGTAGTCGTGGCACAGCAGATAATAATCGATATATACGCGTAATAACGACGTTGCACTATGTGTCGAGTTCGCTTATACACTGAAAATTTGCCTATATAAACAGAGAGCCCCCCCGTTACAACAAACGTAAGAGGGAATCTCGACGTTGCGTATCGTCCAGAACGTTACAACACGGCCTGGACCATGTCGTCCTCCGGATCAATAAGTTTGCTGGTTTTATTACTGCTTGTATCGGCCGCTGTGAGTATATATTTTACCCTCTTCGTGCTAGAGTTAAAATTTTTTTAAATATATACTATCTTTTTCATTTTTAATTCGCTGGTGCTTAGGGAGATTATCTCTTTTTTAAAAGCAGCGACAAGAAAATCCGCTGTCGATGAAATTCCCTCCCTTTCTTTTTAATGCTACAAAAAAATCACACTTTTTTATTCGGAATGCAAATTTTTCAAAAATGTGTAATGAATAGATAAAATAAGAGGGGTTCTTACGGCAAAACGCTACTCTGCTGCACGGAGAAACCTATTCAGAAAAAATTACTATATTTTATGGTAAAAGTGTGACATCTTTGACCTATGACAAAATTTACTAAAAAAATGTATCAAAATTTATTAGAAATATAGTAAAAATAACCGGAAACGTAATAAAAATTACAATAATCATAGTGAATTTTTCCAAGGATGTCACACTTTTGCGATAAAATGTAGCACTTTTTCTCGTGCAAGTTTCTCCGTGTACAGCTTTTTAAATGAGAGATTTACTTCGTAAGCTCCGGCCAGTTTTTGTGTGCTTTTATTTCATTTTTTAATAATATCCCTTTTTTCGTGCGTCTACCAAACAACCCACCCACACACACAACCAAGATGTCACGAGGCATCGGATCCACGAGCGAAAACGAATTAGGCGACGAGTCGAGCAGCAGCATCAGCAGCAAAAGGGTAAGCATCCGTGTGTATATAGCGTAGGCGTCGTCGTCTTCGTCGACGTCTGTGATTTTCCCGTGCGTATATAAAACGCAGTATAGTATATTAAAGAAAAGTCGATTCGCATTACCGGAGCTATTCTTCCGGAAAAAGGCACAGAGATACGACGACGTACTATATATAATATTTTATAAGTATATATTGTTCGATACGCGTCATGATAATAATGCGCGGGGTATCATGTACTTATATAATGCAGTACTGCACAAATTTGCGCGAAATATGCTGCGCAATTCACGCTTGATTAACTATATATATTGCTCATGTATATCGACTCGTCTCTTTGATGGTGGTGGCGGCAATTTGTGTGTTTTACGCAACGCACGCAGGTGGTGACTCGTCAGGTGTCATCAGCCTCGTTCTCCTCCTCCTCCTCGACGAATCCCATGGGCATGGGTATCGACGCGGCTGCCCAAATGGCTGCTGCGGCCGCCGAGGCAGCCGAGAGAGCCATCCAGATGGGCAAGCAGGTGATCCAGGGAATGGCCAACGGAGCCGCCCAAGCCTCCCAAGCGGTAAGCTAAATCTGTGTGTAATAACGAAATTATGATCCTCGTGCGTCGTGTATGCGTCGACTAATTTCGTGCATCCTTTGCAGATCCCTGGATTCGGTTAACGGCAGCAGCTCGATATCTTCTCAAAGCATCATCGCATCATTCCTTCTTGTAATACCCACGTGTACGCAGTTGGCGGCCGCCATAATATAAACTTGTTATATTATCTATCGTACGTGTAGTGCTTTATACCCTCTTACTTCTTTAATTGTTAATGCATCGTAAATATTAGCATGAAAGAGAAAATAAAAAAATGTTACTTTCACATAAAAACATTTACGCACAGGGTTGAGTGTTGATTTCTCATTTCTCATTCCGATGCGTGTGTGTGTGTGTATGAAGCTCGATTGCAATCGACGCTCACGCGACAAACACACAAATATGACTGCAGTAAGGCCAAATAATATTTAATCAACTGCTATGCGTCTATAATCGAAAATTCGACGTGATATCAAAAGCGAAAACTGCTCATATTCTCTCTGGCTTACGAAGAGTGTGTTTTTTTATGGATACATCGGATGAACCACGACAATTATAATGTGATCAAGCTTATTGGAGACTATGGTTTTGTTTTTTTGTTTAATTTTTTGTTAAAAAACAGCTGCCAATACGTTGAATGGTGAGTTTGCTTCGTGACTTTTCTCTAAAAATGACCAATTCTAATGCAAAAAAGTCGTCAGAAAATTCCCAAGTTTCTTCGTTAATATTATTTAACTTTTGTAAATTATGAAAATCACAGTACATTAAATTAGTACACATAGTACACTGTAATATTTACGCCTTTCGAAAGTTAAAATCTCGCTTTGTATCGCGAGACTGTGTTTACATCTTACTCGGCTGCTCGATTCTACTCGGACAGACGGAGCGCGAAGGAACACGTCGCCCAGTCCCGATTCGCTCGTCGCCGAATAAGTACACGGTGTAGTTATCTCGCAACACTTAGGTATCCGCTACCTATAACTAAATTACAATTTTAAAATTGCACCGCGTCCATACTACTACTACTTATCCGCGCCATGGCCCACGACGAGGACGATCGGAGAAACTTGGAGCTGTTCCAGGCCCTGCTCATAGGGATCGAGTGGGAGTACGAGGTGGCGCGACTCGAGTTCATCGACGAGATCCAGGATCTGATGGGCCGATGGCGGGGCCCTCGGCCCAACTTCCACGAGCTCTTTCCCCGAGCCGAGGTGATCGAGTGGCTGCTCTCGGACGCCCTGAACACCATGCGAGAGAAGTACCAGCCGGGACTGCGCTTCATCAAGTTCGTGCTGAACAGCGGCTACAGGGACCGCCCCCGCTTCGAGAACGGCGAGTACGTCGTGGCGCGCACCACGCCGATACATCGCGCGGCCATAATGCGCGAGCGTCACGCCGCCTCCTGGGACATGGCGATCGAGGCTCTCTTCGAGATCTACGACAGGTACGACCTGAACTACGTCGACCTGGAGACCGGCCTGACGCACTTCCACGTCGCCTGCATGTCCAACTGCGTGTACGCCGCGCGCCAATTCATCCACAACGGCCTCAGTCCCAACTACTACCCGGACGAGAGGATCGATCCGCCCCTGCATCTGGCCCTCAAGTATCACGCGGAAAACTTCGAGCGCACGCCCGTGGTGAAGATGCTGCTGAGGCGCGGCGCCGACCCGAATCTCGCCACGGCCGAGGGCACGCGGCCGCTCCACGTCATCTGCCGGAAGTACTGCGACGGCGCCGAGCTCGCCCATGTGTTCTTCAAGCTCAACGACGAGCTGCGCCAGTCCGTGGACTGCAACGTGCAGGACACCTGGGGCCGCACGCCGCTCCAGTGGGCCGTGGCGAGCCTCTCGCCCGATCTCATCGACCTGCTGGTGTATCGGGGCGCCGACTGGCACGGCTTCGTTTTTCCCGACCAGAACCTCATCCTGGAGGCCTACGAGCGCCAGCACCGACTGCGCTACAGGTTCGGCTTCAGGCTGAAGCTGGCGATGCGCGCCCGACTCGTCGACGAGTACCTGTACGACCACGGCTACGAGCTGACGGCCGGCGACGCCACCAAGATCATGGAGCTGCTGGCGCTTCATCGGGTGTTCGACGTGGATCCCTCTCTCGAGGAGCAGCTGCTCACCGATCTGGAACTCGTGGAGAACGCCCGCAACGTCCAGATCAAGACGGGTCTGACGCTGTACGACGCGCTGCGACTCAAGCCCAAAGAGTTGGAGGAACGATTGGAGCCCTGGCGACTGCACGCCTTCTGGAAGCATAAGAAGCTCTACGAGCTCAACACCTTCGGCCAGATGTGGCTCTGCGAGAAGCTGCTGGGCGAAAAAATGATGCGAGGATTTATGCGCTCGTGGGGCCTCGCCTCCTTCATGGAGCTTAACCGCTACGTGTGGCCGTTCGAGGCCGCCGAGATCTTCGTCGACAAGCTGAGGAACGGCGATCTGTGGCGCCTGTGCAAGGCGATACATTGGACCGAGGAGGCGGCCAATGAGGAGCCCGACGGGGAGGAACAGCAGCAGCCAGCCGCCGAACAGCCGAGAAGAGGATCGTTCGACTTTCGCGATTGACCCATAATTATACTTCGAACGATCGAAATTGTACAACGGCCCGAAAATAAGTAGCCTGATACGCTTACATTAGAGAATAAAATTGTAAATATATTTTATTAGTCGACACGTAAATAGAACATAAATTTAGAATTGCGAGCTAAGATGAGTGTCTCGTGTACGTACACATACGTATGTAATTAGTACAAAAACAATTGTAAATAAATAAAGCTCGCCCGAAATTTCGGTGTTACACCTGGAAGTGTGACAATCGAAATAACATAATAAACTTTGAATACAATTGACAGATAACCAACGGATCTTTCATCTCAAATTAATCCTTTGATATTCATATGAAAAAAATAAAAAAACAAATACTTTTCAAATACACTATCGATCGAGACAATCAGACACCATTTACAAATTAGATTTTTGATCCAACAGCAAAGCTACTTTGACTGACTAGAAAATATACCAATCGAAAGTAAATAAAAATCTCGAATTTATTGTTTCGAAGGACAACCATTTTCAAAGTTTGCAATTATCAATCATCGTCGCGATTGAGTCGTTCATCTCCATATGCTATATTTTTCCTGTATAATCGCGAGTTTTTGCTCTCTATCTCTCGTTGCATAAAAAGATCGCATGAGCTGATGTATATTCCAGGTGAACGATCGTCCGCGATTGTCATAATTGAATGTCAACTCGATGGAAAGATCCATCATCGTGGTCGACCATTGCTATGTAATGCAGTCTACTCCCATTTCTTTCGTTCGCAATCCCACTCTTTATGTGGCCACTCGATCGATCGCACTCGCACTCGCATCGCGCCAGCTTATATACTCCAAACTCGGCTCTCGCTAAATTATGTATCGATCGAATGGAATTTATAGATTTCCCTTTTCGCTCTCTGTCGCATATCTATAATTTTACGCTTCTCGAAGAAAAAGAAGAATAAGGAAACGCTCGCTAAAAGCTCTTTCACGAGTCTTGACGAGTCGTACAAGACGGTTGGCGTTGACTTTACAAATAAATGCTCGCAAACTCCAACCGATGTAAACTGAAAACCACGACTTGTGTACACACGTGTGTTGTACAAATGTAACGAACAATTTTCGTCTTACGCACACAAAAGTTCCCTATATGTACATTATTATATAGGTCGTTCAATCTATTGCTCCATCGCTCCTATGCGCTTTGTTCTCGTGCAAGTTTCATCAGCTAGCTGTAAACACGTCGCACACACACACCCACGTGTCTGTCATGGGGAAGCAGCACACATCGTACTACATATCGAAATCCGGTCGAGTAATTGAGTTTACATGGCTTCTACGCTGTAATCAAAGTACTCTATACGCCCGCAGCTAAAAGAGAATAGCGCAATGAGTTCTCTCGCTCTCTCTCTCTCTCGCTCGCTACGCGAGGGATGATCCGTGCGTATGTTACACCGAACTGAAAAAACTGCACGGTTTGGCTCCTCCCTCTACCCGAAAAAGGTACATTTAATTAGGTAATCGCTTTGGTATTATGCAAATTAGAGTCGCGAGCATTACACCCTTTCGGCGTTACATACTGCGTACGAGAAATGAGAAACGAGGTTGCGAGGCTCTCATCTCTTTTTTTCGCGCGCGAGCTTAATATGCATCTTTGCGGAGCTCTCGTTTTTCAGCCCAACCGACCGACTAAATCGCCCCAGCTGTATGTATGTATACGAAGGTCGAGTGTCGCGTGTCTCTCGGCTCTCGGCCGCTTTGTCGTCGTGCTATGAGGGCTAAAAGGTAGGTAGGTAGGTAGGTATACCCAATATCAAGCTTTTATACTTTCATTTTGCACGTCTTTCCGCTTCAGCTGTGTGTTGTAGTATATAACGTATGTGCTGCAAAAGCAGCAGCTTCACTTTCGATGGAAATAAAGGCGCTGAATAAATTCAATACGTACACACATAAGCGCGGGGCTCGGCTCGCTCGCGATCGCCTCGACGTAGTTGTGTGTGTGTAAGTGCCTTGCATTGTATATTTGCTTCGGAAATTGCGTCTCTTCCTTCTTCTTCGTCGCGCGCAAGCCGAACCCTGGACTCGACTTGCATGGGCATAAGCGTGTATGTACACACACGTGTGTAGATTAAATTGAAAATCCACCTTGGCATGGGACGTACGAGACAAGGATATATCCTTACTTGCGACGTTCGTGTGTGTGTGCGCGTGCGTGTGACTAAAAGTAAAAGCTCGTGTGAAGCAACGACACACTCGGACACGACGACAAGTGGACAGGAAAAAGCAGAGAAATTACTACTGGAACGCTTTTACGTACACACACAGACACGTGCGATTTTTTCCCTCTCCCACCTCCTCCTTCCTCCCACCTTTGATGCTTTTATGCCACCCGATGAAAAAAGTTCGGACTCTGTGCTGCCGGAGCTGCAGCTGTGAAAGCATCGAGACGAAAAAAGGAGCGAGACGAGCTTCGGATTTATATAAAAGGCTGTTGCCGCTGTTGAGCGCTTGAGAGCTTCGACGACTGCTACTCACACACACTTTTTGCTTCCCCCCCTTCTTCCTCGTGTGTATCCTACCTAAGCTCGTATTTATGCGCCCAGCAGCCAGCTAGTAAAGCTCGCGAGTTGATGTTTGTAAAATTACTCGTTTAATTCTGCAGAATAAGCTTTGTATCTATCTACCACTACATAACGTGCATCGCGCGAGAGCTTTGGGAAATTAAATGAAATTCGACGACAACGCCACGAGCCCCGCGTAGCTAACGAGCACTCGATCGTTTTTCTCAACTGCGCATTTATGACATTATAATTGAATTAAATATTCTGCATCGTTGCCGAGTCGCTTAATTACAGAGAGCAGCGAGCTTGCGCGTGTGGAGCTTGCAGCGAGGACTGCCTGTGGCTAAAGGTTTTTTTGGATATCTTCAACGTTGCTCTTGCTATTATCGTTGTTTCAATCGTTGTTGTTGTTGCAGTTGATGTTTTCGTTGTTGTTATCGTCAAAGCATGGCAAAACATCGAGAGCCTCTCCCCCCCTGCCTGCTGCAAGCTCGAGGCAGTACGTCGCGTACTCGCGCACGGCACTCGACGCGAGATAGTTTTAGAGCTAGTCGAGTAGAGTAGCGAGAGCAGTTCGTCGTCGGCGACAAAGCGAGCAACTTGAGAGCTCTAGCCAGGACGAGGAAAGGATAAACACTTGATTAAAGTTAGAGAGCTGCGACGAAGGAGGGGTACAACACTGCGCGGAAAATGCTTATAACGTCTCGTCGTAGTCGTCGTCGTCGTCGTCGTAGTGATTGCGTCGAGGCAATTGAATTTTGTACCATGTAGCCCAGCGAGTAGTACATAGTAACAGAAATGTGCCAAACTATTTTACGCGCGAGCGAGCGAGCATATTTCGCGCTGCCGAGTTTACAAACGAAGGCGACTATATATACTGCCACGTTGCGATAGGATTTTCCGTGCCATCTCGCGCGCGATCCTCTCTATACGTATACAGCACAATAATTCATTAGCATAGATAAATTTGTGTACGCTGTACGCCACGGTCTTTTATGTTGTATGTGTACAAGCTCGCCGTGCGCCAGCAGCAGCTCAAACTCGAGCTAGCTAGAAAAGTCCCAACAAGTATGATGAATTATTTAGAAAGCTTTTAATACTTACGAGTAGATGTGTTGCTAGAACTGCTGCTGCTGCTATGGCATGAGCTGAGAACGGACGAACGCGTGTGCCAGGATATAATATTATATACATGTAGCATAAATAAAAACAACATTTCAAAACTTCTTGCAGCGGCAGCAGAAGCATGACATTTTCTAGCTGCTCTGTCTTCTTCGCTTCATGGCTTCTTGTAGTGTGTATATACGTCTCGTCCTAGCTATATATGCGCAGCGACTGTGTGCGAGTGCAATGAAGCGTTTATATCTCTCTCGATGCAGCGGCGACGGCTCGAGTTTCCTGACTTATATAAAATGTCATTCTCGACGTTTACGTTAAATTATTAAAACACTATTAATATGCATATAGCGGAAAATGTTTTATCAAAGCCCGTTAACTTACTGTCTTATTCTCCGAATCGAATTAAAAGTTGGAAATTTATGAATGTTTCGCGCGTCGAAGCATTTCAAAAGAGTGTCACATTTTAAATGATCGAGATACAAAAGCGACGTACTGGAAGCAACAATGCATTCAACTGTTACTTTCGGAATTAATTCTTTAATAATACTCCTAATCCGCGGGAGTCGAATATGCATATTGAAAAAAACTCGCGAATTTCGCTCGATATAACAGAACCCGAGATATAACCGTCTTCGGTGAATAGGATTTGAGTCTTCTTCGCGTCTATATTCGCATTGGTGGTTGTTGAAGCGAGCTTCGCTCGCACTGCCGCTGATGCAACGCAGACACATATTGAATATTGATCATTTCGTATTTTTGAGGATTTGCTCCCATCCCGAAGATATATAGACGCGAGCGAAAGAGAACAATTTGACCAAACAAGAAGTGAGGATAAAGCCCGCCGATGCTTCGCCATGAATGAGAAATAAGACAGAGATTTGCGTGCGCGCGCGCCCGAGTAGATAAAATCTCGCCCCCGCTACATTATTCACCGCGCCACTATACCTACTTCGAGCTTTTTATCATCTCTCCTGTATAATGTTCTATATAATATTTTTTTGCTTCTTCGTGCAGTAGACTCGTACTTGTAGCATCCGAGCATGAAAGAACGAATGATCAAACTAAAGCGTATACTTATTAGGAAAAATGCTACTTCACATCCTTATAATATTATTTCCTTGCTACTTACTTTCTTTCGACGATAAAAAAGAAAGGAGACCTTGAGCGAATTACGCGCGCATCATCCCTTTTGATGCATGACCTGTCTGTCACGCGTAAGCTCGCTGCAATAAAGAATAAAAAGGAGGAAAATTGACAAGTACACGGTACACCATTCATTGATGTATATGGAAAACACGAGTAAAATTGAACATCAGGAGGGCACGATTTTATGTATACATGATTCATCGGCCTTACAGGCGCTTATATGTAGCTGCTGCTGCTGCTGCTGGGCTGGTGAGCTTGCGCCGCGTCGATGTATATCGCGAGCGCCGGCGCTGCGACGGCTAGTAGTAGTAGTAGTATAACCGAGCCGAGCTTGCACTCTCACTGCTGCGCCCGCAGCATCAGCCACCACCGTCGCCGCCGCCGAGAGAGCTTTATTGTGTCGCGACGTGTTTGAGCGTTTGGACGTGTGATACTGTGTCAGGCAGCAGCAGCAGGAGCAGTAGCGGAGAGCTTCGAAGAAAATTCACGAACAGTAGTGTCGAATTCGCACTTTTTTCTCGCTAAACACACGAGTCCTGGCTAATTATCGAGAAAAGTTTTTTCGAGAAATGACGTCGCGATTTGAACTACTCGATGGGTATGGTAAAAATTCCACGCCGATGGCCGTTGTCGAAGCTTGCAGCAGTTGTGTACGCGAGGATGACAATGAGAAAAGATCGAATGCAGATTTTTCTTGCGAGGAAAAGAAGTAATAAGTGCGCGCAAATGCCGCAAGTGATAAATAAAAAATAATGTGCCAAGTGCAATTCCAATTGACAATCGAAGAACTGATTATACAATAATAGTAATAATAATAATAATCATAATAATAATAATAATAATAAGAGCTATAAATCGAGGAAAACGAGAGACACGTGTCCGACGAACACAACGATACATCAGAATGCAGATTTTACAAGAATTCGATGGGTATGGAATTTTCATAATTCTCTTCCGATCGTACATAGCATATAAATTAAATTGAAGAAATTTTATATGCATTACAATATCATGTGTGTGTCAGTGTGTGCGTGTGTGTGTGTGTGTGTGTATCGATATGAGGTGAAATTCATTTTGCCCTTTTAATTAACTTTCATCTGGCCGCGTGTAAAAGAGCTTGAAGTGCTGAGTCGACACTCGTGCACTCCAACTGACTGAACACACACACATACAAGCTGATTTTGCACTTGTAGCAGTACACACACAGGGCCGAGCACGCGTCGGGAAATTGGTTCCTTTTTCCCGCATAAATCTCTTTTCCTGCGATTCTTATACTAACCTTTTCCTATATACGAATTTAATTAATACGCTCTACGAAAAATGTAAGCTCGGGTTATATCGATGGAGAGATTCGGTATATCGTTTTATTTCGACACGAGTGCACAATATATAGCCTTGCACTCGAGAGAGAGGGTGGAAAAGATACGACGGCGACGGTATAGCAGAAGCGATCGCGGGATTTTTAATTGTCTCAGCCTTTGTGTGTTTAACGTCCTGTCTTCCATCCGCTGCCGGAAAGATAGAGAGAGGAACGCTTTGAATGAGAAAAAAAATTGTATCCAGCTATATTGCTGCCGCCAGCCACGCGCGCGTCAAATGGAAAAAGGCAAATTTTTGCTCAAAGGCTCCTTGAATACAAGATATATAAAAGCCTTCATTTTTTTTATAACTCGCGCTGCTGGTGTGCATATAACCGAGGCGACATCGATTGAAATTTAATTCTCTGCCGCTGCATTATATTCGTACATCGATACCCTCCACAAAATTCGAGTCTCAAGAGGTTGGAAAAATTTTTATTACGATTTGTTCTTATTTCAAAAATGCACGTTTATAATTACACGTGCTCTGAAGCTCTCCAGTTTTTCGCTCCGTAAGGCATGTAATATACCATATTTTTGCCTGTGTAAATTTACTCAAGTTAGTTTGAGAAAAGTTAAAATATGCCAGAAAAAATTCCACCACTTGTAACTCCTGAACTTTCTAAGAATGAACGTAAATCGATTGTTGTCTGCTGAGCTGGCTGTTCATTAATAAATTTTATAATTATGATTCAACTCCGGTAAATCGGACTCGCTTTTACTTTTGAAGCTTCTCTTACTTCGCTATTTAGAATAACTTCTTTGATTTTCAAAATTGGAGATAATGAGTTTACAAGAATCTCAGATGTTTCTGCCACATCTCCTTTTTTCTTGGAGGGACCATTTCCAGCATACTTAATTATTAGAATTTTATTTTCGTGGGCGTCAACGTCTTAGATTTAGACCTTACACTGTTGATAGTATTTGCTGTGAATATGATTTTTCTTTAAAACTTTTTTAAAACAATATTTTATAGCACAAAAACTTAAAAGTAGCAGCAGTTTTGTGATTTTCAGATGAGAGAACTATATGAAACCGTAAATTTAATGCAGATTTGATGTGCAATAATGCAAGTATTAAAATCAAAGTAACTGATATTGAATTTTATCAAAGGAACTTTTACATAAAATTTTCGTTCAAAATGAATGCATTAGTACCGATCAATTTATTTAATTGATTCATGTTTTACGCGATATCAATCTAAAGTAATATTTTTCTCCCGTCGAGCAAAATCAACATATTACTTCTAGCTGGAGGATTCACAAAAAAACAGAATTTGCACTTGTGTAGCAAAAATAATTCACATATCAGCAGTTTTTCATTCCTTTAAGGTGCAAAATGTACCATGAGTGCACAAGCAATTCATTATAATTCGATCACATACGTTATTTTTAATGCACAATTAACAAAAAAAGATAAATTCTGCATTCAAAATTAAAACATTTCGTCCGAAAATTGATTCAATTTGTGCGTTAATTGTACTGAAATTTTATAGAAACTCGATTATAGTTAAAGCCAGCATTTGCCGCTAAATGGCGGGTAACCTACCAAGTAAATCTGCAAGTAGTATAGTAAAAATAATCGTATAAGTCGAAACATTGGTTTTGATCCAATCTGCATACGAGATTAATTAATTCCGTTTTCCACCGCTAGATAGCAAATAATTTAACCCGCGAGTCTGCAAGTGGCAAAGTGAAAATAATTGCACAAGTAAAATAAAAACTTCTTAACCTCGAAGTGATTTTTGAAATTCAATATTGTCGACGGCAACAAATTCGTACTTCTTCCTTTGTACGTGTGGGAGAAGTATGAATTAATGGGTAAATTTTTCTCCGCTTTTACTTAAATATAAAAGTAAATATTTTTAACAGGTTACTCGATAGCATTATGCAGCCTGAAAATTTTAAACCCAACATACAGCATTAAAACGAGGCCCGTGTAAAATGATACCGCGTGCGTATAATCTCACGTGTACTATATAAAATTAAGAATTTTTCCTGAATCAAGCTTACTTAAGAAAAATTCGAATTTTATTACTAGCAAAAAGCTCAGGATGCGAATGAAGCTTTCACCGTATAATATTGAATATATAAATACAGGGATCATACTCGCTCGATCCCCGTACGAAAACCGTTCGCGAATTTTCCACTGGTCAATAAATATAGGGATGTCTGATATATATGACGAATCGGCGCGAGTTCGCTAATCAGAGCAAAATTGAGCTTTCTCTTTCTCCCTTTCGCGCGGCTACTATCCACTTGCTGCAATTTGTACGTGCGGGCGCATAGTAATTTTCGCCCGCGAATCCGCACGATCGCGTCGCACACAGTGTAGACGTCGTAATCTTTTGCACAAACACTCACACACCCTTATAACGTATAGTACCACTTCTCCGAGTGATCTTTTTTATATATATCCTCCCGAGGACAGCTACGTCGACTCGTCGAGGATCAGCTACGACAACGAGACTGGCTCGTCGCTGCCGACCCTGCCGCCGAATCTGACCTTTACGCGCCAGTCCCTGTACATCGTGATCGCCTACGGCATCTGCTTCCTCATCGCCTCGATCGGCAATCTCACCGTGTTCGTCACGCTGTCGCGGGGCAGGTATCGCAAGTCGCGCATATCCCTCATGATATGCCACCTGTCCATCGCCGATCTGCTCGTCGCCTTTTTCACCATACCCATCGAGGTGAGTACTGCAGCACTTTATATAATATGATATCGCAAGGCAGCTCTTCGTTAATTTTCTCTCTCTCTTTCTCTCGTTCGCTTTATGCCGAGATTCCGATGCTCGCGCGCGTGTGTGTATGCGTGTGTGGGTGTCATCGAGTCTAGCTCATAAACGTCAAGGACTACACGTGCGGTATCGAACTGTATCGCATCGCTTCGATTTCGTACAGTATTTTGACGAATCAACAGCAACAACAATACGGAGCGTGGGAAGTATCGTGTAAAAATGTATAATCTGTTCCCGTAAAAAGAGCATGCAGGTGGTATCGATACCTTTGAGAGTGGCATTTTTTTATTCGATTTTATTTATACGTGTCAAGTACGCGCGCGGCCCGGATGATCCGATATCATTTACAGCCCACGAGCTTGCACCGCGATGATATGCCAATGCAATGTACATCCATGTGATTGATTAAACGAGCAATAAATAAGTGCACAGGCAATATAATATAGTTCAAATATTTGATTTGATCAAGTCCTTTGGCCACATATATAAACAAATGCAAACAGTTTATAATATCAAATTGTTTATGAATTGCCAACGGTGGTCATTAACTGACACTGCGCCGAAGCGCATGAGAAATACACATTCGTTTGACACGGATACCTACACATCAATTTCGAGCAGCGCACGTGTACATCATCAAACGAATCCGATGGAAAATCGAACGAGATTTCTCGGTCGAATCGCAAAACCGAGCAAAACTGGGTAGATAGCGCGTGGCAGCGCTATTTTGGCCTGTGCGGAAGCACGTGTAATAATGTAGTCGCAGTAGCAGCTCAATGACGACGAGCTTGCAGCAGCAGTGAAGTCCACGTGTGTGACATTCGAGATACACGAGATTGAGAGAGAGAGAGAGACAGGGGAAGGGGGGAAGGGAGCTAGAGGTTGAATTACACCGAGCGATGTATATATCTACACGCACTACCCCCTAGTCCCGACAATCGTAAATTATTGTGGGCGCTTTTGAGCCCGTGCCTATCTCTCTGCTATATAAAGCTAAATGCAAGGATTTTGCATTTCCGCAGATTGGATGGCGTCTCACGGTGCAGTGGGTGGCCGGTAATTCGGCCTGTAAGATATTCCTTTTTCTGCGAGCTTTCGGACTATATTTATCCAACAACATACTCATCTGCGTGTCGCTCGACAGGTTGGTATACATATATACTCTTACGGTGCAATTCATCGATCGGTGTACATGGGTAAGACGCCTCGCAGTACATTACCTTCGCAAAGCAATTACATCCGGTGCACTTACGATTCGCTATGTATAATAATACACGCACACACAGCTGCCGGTCAAAAGGAGCTTTCGCTAAATGTAAAGCTCTCGTGTAATAAAAAACCTTCATTAAAAAAATGGAAAAGCTGTGCTGCGTTAATTGGTATACGACGATTTTGTTGGCCAGCTCGCTCAAAAAAATGCAGGTGACTTCAAAGTATACGGTACGCGATGAAAAAAAAAAAGAGTAGAGTAGTTTTTACCGCACTTTTTTTGAAATGTCGTGTATCGCGTGTGCCTGCATGACTCTTTCAAATAAATTAAATGAAAAAAAGGGATTGATATATGTATAGTGAAGGACAAATTGATATGCAGTTGTGTAAAATGTATTCAAGCGAAAATCAATTAATTTTTCAAAACTTTCAAAAGATCAAATGATTTCGACCAATGATTCGGTGCGGGAATCATTCGTTCAAATTCGTGGATTTATATAAAAGCTCATTCACGTTTGTGTACAGTAGCTTTGATTCCGCAGAGTTTTGGAAAGCCGCATAGAAATTATAGCTTCAATGACGAGTGCTTCGGTTATAACTAATTTAATTATTCATCGGGCAGCTATGATAATACACGAATAAACTCCGAGCCGAAATTCCGCGCTGGAGATATTCGAGTGGGCGGTGACAAAAACTATTTGGAATAATTATATCTCTTCTCTATTCGTCGTTCGCGCGGCGATCGCATAGAGAGAGGAAATATTAATTGACTAAATGACATTATATCCAAAATGCGTATATTGTATATAGTGCATAAAAATGCCAATTGACGCAGGAGAATACGAGATGATATGCTCGCGAGAGCTAAAGGCAAAACTAATAATCTACGTAATCACTCGCCGTATAAAATAAACCGAAAATACGTACATACTTGTATATTTGTATCTGTGTGTGTGCGTGTGTGTGTGTGTGTGTGTGTGTGTGTGTGTGTGTGTGTGTGTGTGTGGTGCGTGAGGACTTTAAAATCTAAATTCTAATACAATTTAGAGTTTCTTAATCGAGTTAATGCGAGGACATTTCGAAGCGCTGCTGGCAGCAGAGCTAAATAAGTTTCAGGAAGAGCAGCTCAGCTGCTGCTGCCCGTCGTCGAGTCTCGGTAGTTCGTTTCGGCAGCGCACACACACACACACACACACACACACACACACACACACACACACATACACAATCAACAGCTGCCTGTTGAATATCTCGTCGCACGAGCGCAAAACTTTTGCGACAAATGCTGATGTATGATGAAAATCTCTCTCCGTCCGCAGGTACTTTGCAGTTCTGTACCCGTTGCGCATGACCGTGGCCCGTCGCCGGGGCAAGATGATGCTCACCGTCGCCTGGATATTCAGCATTTTTTGCGCCGTGCCGCAAGTGAGTATATACATCGACGAACGAACGGGTGCAGGCTTGCTTGCTTGCGTGCGCGCCTCGACCGAAAGCCCTCGAAACCAGCCCGTCCGAGACTTGGCAAAAGTTTCTTCGTTGCGAGCTCTGACCTTCTCGCAGAAGCAACTTAGCTTGACTTATCGTGCGAGCGTATACCCAACGAGTCGAGAGGCTCAAGTTTTCGAGGCTTTTGCGAGCTCTGACAGGGAAAATTGGACATTTTCTTAACGTTTAATTTTATATATTTCAACCGCTTGACAGCAGAGAATATGTATGAAAAAAACAATGTGCACTATATGCATACTAAAGAGGGTGTGCGAGCTTACCTGATGTTTCAAACTTTACTCCATTTTAGGAAAATTCTTTTTTCATGTTACTCAGTTACATGTATAATTTACATAAACGACACACGCGCTTTTTTTTAAGCCAGGAGAATAATTCACATATTATAATAAAAATAAGATAGTGTAAGATTTATTTTTCGTTTCTTTTTTCATTTCAGAATTTTTAAAGCGACTGGATATTTACTAGAATTTTTCAACTCATAATATATTGATGATATTTTAACTTCGAATAATCGGGTGCTTATCAATAGAATACTCGAAACTAATTTTTTAAATTCATTTACATGATTTATTTAAGTCTATGTATACTATTTTTGCCTGCTCGTCGCCACAATTACAAATTTCATTATTCATTTTTTAGCTTTTTTGGAGCTTTTTTCAGCCCTCACGGATTTTCTTTTAGTAGTACTTTTTACTACATTTTCACTATCCTCATCACTTTGGCATGCAGCTGCCAACCAAACATTATACAAATCTTTAATCGTCAGATTGCTGATGATCATTTCACAGCAGAGAATCGGCAGCCGGTAATGAATCAGCTCCTTGAAAGGAGCCAGCGTCCACCGCCGGAGAAATCCTCTCGCTAGTTTGTCAAACAAATGTGCAGCGCAAGACTTCTTTGCGCGAAGGGACCAAAAATTCCACGATTTCCTGATCGCTAAGTAGTCCTTATAATCAACTATTTTTGTCGCCTTTTTGGGTTCTAACTCGATCAAGTCTTGGAGTGAAAAATTCCGACGTATCCTTATCTTTTTTGACGTACTCACAAACTCCTCGTCGCCGTATCTGCGTGCTTCGCGATCTGCCGGCTCGTGAAACATTTTGTGTATATTAAAAAATTTCATGACCACCTGGACGTCGCTTTGGTAAAATTTGTATCCAAATTCTACAAGCCTATTAATCACGATCGGAACCCTGAAGGCCAGCTCAAATTTATCATATTTATGCCCTAGTTTCAAAGTCTTGCCAAAGTTACTCTCAGTTGGGAAAACGAATTTAAACAGTAACGCGCCATGACTCAAAAGAGTACCGACAGTAAGCGGCAGGATATTTTCTACGGCCCATTCGAGCGGTGTCCGACCCAACCTGTCCCGACGATTGACTCGCACTGGCCAATATTTTTTCTCGCTGAGCTTGAATAACAACTCTAATGAGTCATCGTCTTCGCGTCTCTGGCTGATTAAGTGCAGAGGGGTCAATTCCTCCTCGTTGGACAAACTTGGATCGGCGCCATTTTTCAACAACAGTTCGAACACTTTCTTACTGCCCCTCTCGCAGTTCTTCAGAGTCAAGTGCAGTGGAGAATCGCCCGCTGATTCCACGACGAGATTGGACAGGTCCTGGTCGAGCTTGAGAAATTTCTCGACGACGTCCACGCGGCCAGTCTCGCAAGCGACGTGAAAATGCGTGTAGCCGGACTCGTCGCTGTAATTCGCGTCGAAATTGTCGTATATTTTAAAAAGCTCATCGAGCACGATTTTCCTTTCGTGCGAGTAAGTGTATTTAGCCGTGAGATGTATAGGTGTGGTACGATTTAGTATGGGCTTGCCGTCTTCATCAATTTTGGGCACGTTTTTGTAGCCGCTCTTGGCCACGAACTCGATGATTGTTTTTCCGTCATCGATGGATGCGTAGCTGTCATTCATGGAATCCAAGAGGAGAGCCTCGATTTCTCTGGGCTGAAAGATGGCCCGGAGATCAGGAACATCATCCCACCATAATTTGAGTAACTCTACAAGCTGACTAAAAAATTCACGTCGTCCTTCTTTGTCTTCCTGATTGACATATGTTTGCATACTCTTCAATGTTTCTAAATTTGTTTCAAGGTCGAAAAATCCATATCCATCGTTGTTGAACATCTTTTACGCAGTCACCCACAACACACAATCGCTTAAAATTTAAGATATCTTGTTATCTTTTTCACTAAAATCACTTGCTGTGATTTTCATTTGTCGTCTACGCTATACGTCGCGTGTAACGTGTACTGACTGTACATTACACTATACTATTTACGTACAGAGAGTAAACGAACACCTGGCCGAGTTATAGTTCATGTAAACTGTTCAAATTAACACGATTTGAATTAAAATTGAATGTTTTTTTTTCATGAATTTGTGAACATTACTATTAATGTAATTTAATTTGTATTAATTGACATGTACTCATTTCCATATTTTATATAATTCGAGTTTCAATTATATTGAATTTGAAATTCGAATTAATATTATACAAGAAAGGGCCGATGTTTTGACTTAAACACTTCTTTTTATTTTACCACTTGCAGCTTTACAAATATAGGTATTCACCATCCAATGGTGAAAGCTATAACTTTGTTGTGGTTATACTTTCGTGGTTCATGATTATAAAAATAAATCGGTATCGAAACATTAATTTTCAATCGAAATGTTTAAATTCAGGTGTAAAATTACATCCTTTTTATTCTTTTTAACATCATGTGCAGCTAATGTAAAATAATTAATTACCCTTCCCCCGTAGAATTGAAGGCAAGCAAGTCATCTTGCCTTATCGTGCGCGACTAATTCGTGTGTATAACTAAACCCACGGCTGTGCATTGCGGTACCGTGAATTCATGCGGTAGCGCGCTGAGGTTCCGAACAGCAGCAGTTTTAAGGAAATCGACCGCTCGACACTATCTCCTAATATAAACTTGTTTCAGCGAGATGACAGGCGGGCATCAGAAAGTGACAGACATATGACTGTTAATTCTTTGTCTGAGTTATAGAACCAGATTTTGCTGTGCACGGTGGCGCGCGTGTTGCAACGTGTCAGTTAGTCGTTTCGACCGAGCCGCCGCACTCTACGACGCCGCACTCCGCAGTGTAAACAAAGAAACATCATCGCATCGACCACCACCAGTTGAGTGATATCGTAAGTGACTGTTTGTGTGCGAGTGTAACACTAACAAAACAATGTCCTCGCCCGACAATGACTTTTCAAATGAACTGAAGAATATACGTGAAATGATCAATTGGGAGGTCGAAAAAGAGCGAAGATCATTTTTCGATCGTATTCTATTTTTGCTTCGACATTGGGCGGGCCAACTTCCAAATCTCCGAGATATCTTGCGGACCGAAGAAATCGATTGGCTTCTCACGGAGGAAGAGAAGGACGAAGAAAACTACTTCGATATAGAATATTCAGTCATCGAATTTGTGTTCAGTACCGGGTACAGGGACGAGCCCGACGTCGACGAAGACGGCAAGCCGCTGTCGAGGCGCTCGACGGCACTGCACTACGCGGCCAAAAACAGGGTCTACAGTTTCAACGCCGATCGGCTGTTTGAAATATACGACAGATTCGACGTGAATTACACCGACGAGTCGGGTCTGTCGCACTATCACGTGGCCTGCAAATTTGGATATCCAGAAATCGTCGAGAAATTCCTCGAACTCGGCCAAGATCCCAATCTCCTTTGGCCGGAAACGGGTGATACGCCGCTGCACTTGGCTCTGTCCACGGGTCGCTACGATGTGCTCGAGTTGCTGCTGAGAAACGGCGCCGACCCACGGTCGACCAACTTGAACGGAATGACGCCTCTGCACGTGATTTGCAGGGTGGATGACTTTGACGCCCGATCATCGGAAGAAATAATAATCGTATTTTTTAGGATCATCGACGAGCTCCAGCAGACGGTCCAGATCGATGCCCGGGACAAGTTGGGCCGGACACCGCTGCAATGGGCCGTGGCGAGTCTTTCGCTAGTTATGGTTGATGTACTCTTGGGTCGCGATGCTAATTCGTCTAACTTTGTTTTCCCCAACGACAGTTACTTTGGCGAAAACTATGACCGGGCACATCTACGAGATTGGGATAAATTTTGTGTGGGAGACGCGTTCGGAGCTCTGATTATCGTCGATCGTCTAGAGAAAAGAGGGTACGAATTTGATCGAAGCGACGCCATGACGATCATGAAATTATTCGCTAAGCACGGATTGTTCGAAAATTCAATGGATCTCGACACACGTTGGTGCGACGACAGGAGGTTCGCAATAAAAGCGAAAGAAGTAACGAAAGATTGGAATATGTCGCTCTACGACTTGGTCCAATTACGACCCAAAGAGGTGGAAAAATTATTCACGATATCGAACACCTTAGATCTCTTGAATACGTATTATTCGAATTATCATTGGAAAATGCCTGAAAGGCTGAGGGAGACTTGTATTGAGCACCTGGGCGAGATTATAACGAGAAGATTTTACCGTCGATGGGCACTGGATCCTTTCTTGGAGTTGACACACTATCAGCTGCCGATTCTCTGCTGCGAACTCATCGTCGAGCAGCTAATGAATAGAGACTTGTATCGCATTTGCTTGGCGGCTGCAGGCCAAAGTACGTGACAGCGATATGCATATTCGACATATTTTTAAATATCTGCTATTATTCAATGTTGTAGATTTTCCATATCACTTGAATAAACTAACTAAAAAATTTTAATGAATTTTTCAATTTAGTCTATGTACCTTTCAGCTTATTTTTTAGTTTGGATAATTGGTGCCGTGACTGCTGACACACATTGTTTGTTTTTTTCTTCTGAAGCCCGACCCGCAAGACGATAAAAAATACGGAATTAATTGAAACACCGTCTCTTTTATGACTTTTCTAATCCGGCCCGTGGTGCTAACCATTTTTATACCAGAGGGTTTTGCGAGCTTACCTGATGCTTCCAGTTCTAGAGAATCAGGAGAACTCCTATTTTTTCGTACTCGACTTCTTTTCGATTACTGGCATTATTTTCGAGAATTAAAATTTTTTTGAATTCCGACATAGTATAACTTTTCATATTTTGGTGTGTGTAATTTAGATTTTGGCCTCGATGTTGCTACGATAATGAATACACAGTTAGAAATCTTTTACTTTAAATGATTGTGTGCTTATCAATACGAACATCAAAACTCATTTTTTTATAAATTAATTTATTTAAATCATAAAAAAAAAACAAATCGAAGAACACTTGAAATTCAAAAGTACTGCAATTATGCTTATCGCTATTACGAACTTTAGTCTATAGTCAACCCACAAATATGGTATAAATCTTCATTCATCAGCTTGCCAAAGATTATTTCACAGCAGGAAATCGAAATCTGATATTGCATCTGAGCTTCGAGAAAGGAACTGGTATCCAGTACCGGCAAAATACTCTCGATAGTTTTTCACACAGATGAAAAGTACAATTAGGCAATTAGGATCCTGTCGGAGCTCGAGGAACTTATTAACGGCATCCTCACAGTCACACTTGCAGGCCACATGAAAATGTGTGAGGCAGCGTGATGCACTGGTGTCGTGCGACGCGACGACTTCTCGCCATCTTCATCGACTGTGGACTTGTCCTTACAGCCAGTGCGAGCCCCAAATGAAATGATTTTGTATCCATCATTGGTATAGTTTTCCATCGTGGAATCCAAGAGAAGATGTTCAATTTCTTTGGGTCTAAAAATGCCCCGATGAACAAGAAATTAGCTTCTGCCAATCGATGGTTAAATAACAAGTCGACGGAAAAATTTGCGTCGCTCTTCTTTGTCTTCACGGTTGACATTTTTTTGCAAGCTCTTCGATTTTTCTACTTTTTTTGGTTCATGGATTTGTGAAATACTGCGTTGAAACTGTCCATTTTAATGCGCTGATACAATTTTTTTCTTCACGAAAATAACTTGCTGCGGTTTTCCTTTGTTGTCTACGCTGCAGCGCCGTAACGTGTGCTGACTTCACTTACACTACTATTTATATATAGAGAGTAACGAACACCTGACCGAAGCTAAGAAATACGAGTCGAGTGAGCTGTGTACACGATAACGAGCTGAAAAAGCTATGCACGGATGGAAAATGTACTCTTGCTTTCGTTAACTTGAAGGCAGACGTTCATTGTTATGAGTTTTAGGAGTTGCGATAATTATGGTGGTAATACACATATTGACCCTCTCTATAGACCTAGAAAAACAGAAAAGTCTCTGGGCGCGTGTGATAAGCGATAAATACAAGACCTTAAGCTCTCTATTTTTGCTTCGTAGAAAAATCTAGTATTTTTCATAAATATTCCAGCAGAAATTAACTTTTTCATATTGGCCGCAGGGCCGAGAAGGTTTGTTTCAGCTCGGGTGGCATGAAAATAAAATACACCCATGCATTATAATGTTAAAAATATTTATTTTAAAGTTAATACAATAATAGTGGAGGAAGTGTTTTTCCTTCGCGTAGAGTGAGTTCAAATTCATATAAGATATTTATTAATATGGTGAAATTAAAATTAGATGATTTTTTCCATGAATCATTGAACATTAAATTCAGTGTAAAAGTTGTTAAATTTGATTTCTTTTAATTCGCGTTGATATTCATGAACTTTTTTCATTTTCTACATTTTAAACGTACCATAATGAATTTGCAAATTCGAATTGAATAACATTATCAGTCTTCCTATATCATCTTGCGGTTCGTGACACTGATTCGTCCTCGCTTTTCCGCAGTCGACTATGTGCCTACCCGGCAATTGTGTGATAATATTACTTAGAAATACCGTGCTTTAACTTACATACATTTATTTTCATTTTACCACTTGCAGATTCACAAATAAAGGTACCCGCCATCTATCGGTGGAGGCTACCTCTTATTATGATTAAGTTTTCATTGATTTTTTAAGCAATTGTCGCATAAAAAATCGGTATTGAAACATTAATTATTAATAAAAATATTTAAATTTGAGTATAGAATCAAATCATTTTAATTGTTTTTGGCTTTATTTTCGCTTAATGTGAAATAACTAATGAGTACTGAAAAATTGTTACTGTTATTTAAAAAATTTTTTTATAATACTCGCTATAATAGTAACGCATTATGCATAAAAAATACAAAAGTTTAATTTATTGTAAACTAAGGCAAACGTGTTAAAAATTCCTCGTATATTAACTTTTTTTTGCACGCACGTGGTACTTTATAAGTTACCTTTAGATGGCGTATGGCCGAATCAGAAACCAAAAGAAAAAAAGCAAAGTTTTAGCTTTAATTGCAGAAAGCGATTTCCTTATACTCCATTTTCAATTTTATTAATTAAGAAAAAGCTCGCACACGCTCCCGTACATTATATACATACGATTTACTCGGTCCGCTTCCGACGCGATGATAATACGCAAATTCGCATCAACGCGCGTCAACGATTACGTAAATATATACAGATTAATGAAAAAAAAATCATTCACTCCGCGCTCGGCCCCGCGCGCGAGTACGCGTCCGAACGATACAGGCTCGGATATCATACGCGTACATTATAATTCATCGTTATAGGAAATGATATGCGCGCGAGGGCAGCAGGATGTGTGTTTATAAATTTATATAATGCAGAGAGAGAGAGAGAGAGAGAGAGAGAAAAGAAGCAACTGCACGGCTACCTATACACAACCAGTGTTTGCCAGCTTTTGCGTTGCACTGCAGGACAACGCCAAAGCTCGGCGCGCTCAACGTTTGGAAGCTGGGCGCGGAGCGATTCGATTCCGACTCGACTCGCGCGGGTAGGTCGAGCTTGCGCGTGTCCATCCGCGACGACGACGACGATGACGCTACGAAATATTATGTATATATGTGAATAATAATTATTATGTCTGCTGTAGTTTGTATTATATTATTCGAGCGCACTTGCACGAGCAAAATAATAATGTAACTCGAGAGATGACGACGATGATTCTCTCGTCACTTGTTGCTCGGAATATACATCCGTAATAATTCCCGCAAAAGAGCAAAGGAAACACACTTTGAGCTCCGTATACGTATGTATTTTAAAATTAATAAATTTTGGTAAATCTCTCTTTCTCTCTCGACAGAGCATCTTCTTTCACGTGCAAAAGCACCCGGAGCACTCGAATTTCACGCAGTGCGTCACGTTCAATTCGTTCTCCTCGGATCTCGCCGAGAACACGTACAACGTGTTCTGCATCGTCACCATGTACTTTTTTCCCCTCGTCATTATCTGCTGCGTCTACCTGAGGATACTCTGGGAGATCAGCAGCAAGTCCAGGGAGAATAACAAACCAGGTCAGTTCTCGTTTGTCTTTTTTTGCTTTTTGTATTTTTTTATACATTAATATTCACCGACGTTGCTCGCGAGCGATGACGCAGTATATAAATTAGGTACACGCAGGAGAAAATGAAAATACGTGTGACGAGGTGCTGCGATTTTTCGAAAATCTATATATATGCATTCCGATTGATTTTTCGATGTACACTCTGATTCTGACAGCTAATTAAAAAAACTCATGCGGCCGCCAGGCCAAAAGTCCGCGCCTCGAGGTATAAAATTCTTTTTTTCTTCTATTCACTGCGTGCGCGACTTTTCAAATGTCAACAGTACAAATGGACTCGGGTAAAAGCCGAAGGTTTTATATAAAAAATATATATAAAGTAGTTTTTAATTTCAACAATTTGAGGGGAGAAAAATTCATTTGGAAAGAACCGCAATTATTCGATACTGACTTACATCGAACAAACGCGAGCTTGGAACTTTTTTTTTCAAGTATCGAAAAATTTGTCAAAAGTATTTTGTTTATTTTATCATCACAATGGAGCGAAGGATTTTGTTAAAGTACATCGCGTGCGTGCAAGTGACGCGCAAATGTTTGAAATTCATTCTTTTTTTTGTTACAAAAGTCTCGAACTGTAAGTTGAAACGAGGATTTTCGAACGAACGATTGTACGACGAAAATTTCGATAATATAAATATCGGTCGACGTATTGCACACATTCGAATCGAGAGAGATTTTATACTTGCACTGGATATTGCATTGCCTTCGACTCGAAAAAGCAATCACTAGCAAAGCTTGAGGTCTGTTGATAATTCAACGGGGCGATTGTTTGCTATTCACTGTTTATACAGTCGAGCTTTTAAAAGTCGTTAAATATATAGTGTATATTCTCTGCAAAAACACTTGTAGCGTATAAAATCCGATGAAAGCAGATAATTGTAAATTAAAAGCCGATTGTGGTCGAGGGCGGCCGGCCACGCTCGTAATTTTTATCGAAAACTCCACAGCGCGCGCGTCAATCCGACGCACGGTACAGCAGCAGCTTTGCACACCTACATGTATACACGTTTACAGTTTTTATACAAAGCTCGAAAATTAACGTCGAGTTGTGGTGGTGGGGGTTGGGTGGTTGGGTTGATAAAATATATGTATGTTCCTCCGTGCGTGCGACGCAGTTATCGGAAAATCGAGCAGCGGCAGCGGCGGTACGATCGACGCTGCGTCGGCTGCAGCCGCGGGAGGATCGTCCCTGCAAGGCGGCGGCGGCGCCGGCAACAGTCAGGGCAGCAAGATGCGGCTGCGACGCTCCGACATGACGAGCATCGAGCGAGCCCGCAGCCGGACTTTGAGAATGACCATCAAAATCGTCGTTGTGTTCATCTTCTGCTGGACGCCCTACATAACTATGAGCCTGTGGTGAGGAGCTATATACTTTCCGCTCGAATCGACTTATCGTCATCTCGACAACAAAATGTATAATATTTACATTATACTCGTTGCGTAATAAAATAGGTACGTGATCGACAAGCAAAGCGCCAAGGAGGTGGACGAGCTGCTGCAGGAGTCGCTGTTCATCATGGCGGTGGGCAACTCGTGCGCCAATCCGCTCGTCTACGGCAGCTACGCGATCGATCTGAAAAAGGAGTGCTGCAGGTGCTTCCTGCCTTGCACCACGGCGTCGAGACGCTCCAACGTCGACGTGCATCTCATACAGAGGAGCATAGGTATATATGAATAAAATTGTTACGCAGACGCGCGGATCGGCGGCGATCTCGAAACGCTAAAACTATATTAAACTAAAACTATATATTCTCGAATGTGTTTGGGTTTTCGAGCTGGACCGAAATCAGACTCGATCCGTAACGATAATACATCTTTTTAATTTTTAATTGTTACACTTGAGCAATGAAGTCGATACTACTGAGAACATCCTAGCAGATTGGGAGTTTGGGGATTTAAAATTTCTTTGTAGCTTTTTTCGGAACAATAAAAAGAGCTGTGCTTTCGATTTCATCTCCTGGGCCTCGAGGCATATTTTAAAGATAATTTTCTCTTGATGTGATGGTTATTATGGCTCATTGAGAAGGGTACCATCCGAATTCATAAAAAAAAACTAGCGAGCGCAATAATGAAAACCGATTGAATATGAATTCAGTTTCCACTCCATGTCACGAGTCTTATAACCCTTAACAGAGGCAACTCTCTTGTGGTAGATGCCAGAGGTCCTAGCCATCTTGCGGCCGAAATGAAAGCAGTGCGCGCGAGCGAGCAAGCGAAGAGACAGAGATTCCCTATGCTGGTATAGACGTTTCAGAGATACGAGCGTCGACCATTATACCTGCAACTGTTGATTACTTGTAAAAGTCGCAAGATCAATTGCAGCACGCGAAGCAAACAGACGCCTCTGAAACCAAGTTAACCCTGCGCTTATCACGTTCGCTCGCTCGTTTTTGATGGATACACTGGCCCATACCCAATGAGTCGTAACGAATTTAGGATGAAAGAAAACTGATTTTAAAAATGGACTTGAATCCACGTATTTTATATCTAAAAAAGCTCGAATGAAATTTTAAAATCGATCTAAATTCCAGAGCTCGCGTGGTCCTCTTGGAAAAAATCTCCTAAATATAATATAAAGACAATAACCTATATCTTTTCCAAATATTTATTTCATCTTTACTCTACAGTTCAGAGATATATAGGCTTTGAGTTTGCCTGAAATCCCACCCAAATCCCAAGAAAAACTACTCTATCCGTAATTTTCGGGTACCCGCGCACAGCCCTATATGGAATGTCCACAAAGCAAAGCATCGCAAGCAGTGACAAGCGCTGATTCGACAATTTCAGTCGAAATCCAACTCCATATCGTCATAAAAATATAACATACACGAACGACAGGCTAAGCGATATTTTTGGCGGGTCGAATTTACACGTCCGCGATGAAAAGTAACTCATTGCTTTTACAACTTCACGCGTGTGTTTGCTGCTGCGTATGCAGCGCTTTTTTCTATATGTATATAATAAATAATAATTACATTGTGCTGACGCCCGGGGGTGAGGCTGACGAACGAACGAAAGCCCAAAAAAAAGAAAGAAAGAAAAAAAGAGAAAAAAAATGACGAAATGAAAATGGCCCCACCCATGTGTGTGCACTGTATATGCTTGCAGGTTCGAAATTCCAGCCAGCCTCGGATTTGAAGTCCCCGGGCGTCAGCAAACAAATAGTTCATAGTGTGCGCCAAGCCGTGCACGGCTTCTTCAAAGGTCTGTATCGTTGCTGTTGTTGTTTTTGTTGTAATTGTTGTTGCTGTTGTTGTTGGACGTAGTAACGCAGCGGCCGCGTACCTTAATTGAAAAGCTCATCCACCTTGCTAACTTTGCTCTTTAACGCGTGTGTGCACTTTGCATTACAGTCGGCAGTGGCCAGACCAAGAGCACCAACGTCGTCGGCCTGAACAAGGCGTTGGCAGTTGTGCAGGCGCCAGCAGCCGCGACGACGACGCTACCGGGTAGGCGGCGGCCTACCAGTCCGAAGCCATCCGTGTCGAGCATCAACGACAACAGCCTAGCGGTCGCCGTTGCTCGGCAGACGGAAAAAGTTCAGCTCTGCACCATGGTGAGAGAATTAAAGAATCGTGTGTAGGCAGCACTGCCCAAAAATGTGCATATTCCGCTCTGAAAAGTCGCGAAAAAATAGCTAGTTTCCGGGGGGCCGAGCATATTCATTAAAACGCAGCGGAGCAAGTACACATTCGACGGTGTGTGGCGCGCAGCACACGTGTGCAATTATGAATTCTGTCTTTCGAGTTATGTAGGCAGAGAGCGAAGCACCGGGCAATTTGACCTCTGTTTCGACACACGGGTTAATTGCATGCGTCGTCGTCGTCTTCCTTTGCGCGCCTCGCAATTGCCATTTAAACGCCACGCCACGCCATTGTCGTCGTCGAGTTTGCTGTTGTAGTCGACGCGAAAGTTCCAATTGGTATTATAATACCTCTGGTGCTTTGGGCCAAAATTCAAAAAGAAAAAAAGAAAAGCACTCGTAGTCGGTGCTCGTAGATACTTTTCTTCAATCAACCAAATAGTTCGGTCGTACGAATAAACACAATGATAAAGGGGGAATATTCATGCGCGTCGTCGTTGTCGGCTCGTTAGAATCGAAAGTCTCGCGCTTTTTAACATACAAAGTAAAAAGTTCGCTCGATAAAGTGTATCGTTTTACAATTTCCGCAGCAACTTTTTATTTATTTATTTTTTTGGATTTTTCTTTTACAATGACTCTTCGTCGCTTTTGTGAAAGAAAAAAAGAACGACGAGCTCTTCTCTTACAAAGATATACATAGCAATATTTAACAATTATCAATATACAAATGTAACATCTGCGTAATATATATATATTTCGACGGGTGTTCCCTTTACAAAGAGCACCGCACGTTTCTCTCTTGCGTAACGCGTAAACCCGTGCGGTGCTCTTTGACGTCGTAAGGGCGTCGATTTTAATTATCATCATGTAGTAACAAACAAACAATTATATACGCGAACGACGCGCGAGTATCGACGTCGTTCTTTTGGCAACATTAAATTCTACCTGCGGGTGCGTTTCTCGTCGTCATGCGCTCTCTTATATACGTATTCTATATAATATGCGTGTATTTATGCGAATCGTGTAAGACCAAAGTTACGTAGGAATAAGGAGGAAATCGATTTCACATAGACATTTCTGAGGAAAATGCGTGTGCCACCGCGCACCGCACAAGTGCAATCGCATCGACGAATTCGACGGCGAATTTCGACGAATCGACCTCGAGCAAAAAGAAAAAAAGAGGAAAATATTACTTTTCAATACGGGATAAGGAGTTTTTTTCCACGTTACTACGCTTACGCGATGAAATGAGAAAAAGAAACCTTATCCTCGATTTGCCTGCCGAGGTATAGGTATATAGCAATGCGCTGCTCCATTGTTGTACTTATAGCTGGAGAAAAGTGATGAAAAAAAAAATTGTAAAATGAAAGTTGAAACCTCGGAGTGTGCGGGGTTCCAACTGTATAATTCTAGCGGCAGAATCTTACATTAATATTCATCGTTACATTACACACACACTTGCGAGTAGAAATTTCAGCAGAAAATCACAGGCGAAGACAACAATCGCGACACACACACACACACACTTCACGCGCACATACACACTGCAGTCTAGGTCTTCACAGCTGTCCTCTTTCTCTCTTATCATTGCTCGAGCGGCTGCTCGGCCTCGTCCCTGCCGTTGGCCCCCTCGGCCTCCTTCATCTTCTTGCGCAGCGCCCGGCCGCGAATGTTGAGCATGGTGCGCGACACGAGCCAGACGGCCCAGCGCTCGCAGATCGACTGCAGTCCGTTGACGGTGCCGAGGATGATGCTGTGCGGTGGATAGCCGCTGGTGCGCTGCTCGATGCCGCAGGTCTTCAGCGTGGCCTCGACGAAGCGCTCGGGCGTCGGTGCCATCCACGTGGCTCGTCTGTGCCGAGAGAGAGAGAGAAAAAAGATTCGTCGATTAAAAAAAAAAAGACATTCGATTCTGGTCTAGACTGACTAGTTTTCGAGCGCGATTCTTCGCTTCGTTTCTACTTTTTCTACTTTATTTTTAATCGATCGTTTCCATCCGAATCAATTTGATCGATATTGTATTTGATGGAGCTGAAATTATTACCGCGTCGGAGCAATTTATCATTATTATATAGATCAATTTATTATAACGAGCTAATGATCGAATCGTTGTGACGGTCAGCCGATCGACCGATCGATGATTTTCTCTCCTCCTCCTTTTTTACGTAATGCAATATAATGCACACAATGTCGCGCGCGCAAAAGAGAGGGAGAGAGAGACCGCGTGTTGTTGCTCTTTTCTCGGGAAACGCGCGACGTTATTCCAAATGCACGAGACGACAAAAAAAGTCAAGCGCGCGCACACACGATTCCACATTTTCCTAAAGCACACACGGACTGCGGACGAAGGCCTCATTAATAATGCAGCAATTTTTCTCCGTCTTTGCGTCGTTACGAGCCAAAAAAATGAAGGAAGCAGAAGAAGAAGAGGAGGAAAGATAAAGACGAAAAAATGTGTTTGTGTGTGTGGAAGCTCACCTGATCTTGGACATCTTGGTGGCCACCGGGCCGGGCAGGATACACTGCACGGTGACGCCTCGGGAGGCGGCCTCCGCCGCGAGATCGGCCGAGAGCTTGTCGACGAACATCTTGCTGGCCGCGTAGACGGCCAGGTAGGGGCTGGGCATGGCACCCGCGGCCGAGCCGATGTTGATCACGACGCCTCGGCGACGCTCCATCATGCCGGGCAGAACCTGACGCGCCACCCCGGTGAGTCCGGCCACGTTGAGCTGGATGATCTTGTAGATCGTCTCCTCGTCCACGTGGGTGAACAGCTCGGGATGGTCGTAGCTCCTGCCGGCGTTATTCACCAGCACACCGATCTAGAAGTCGAGTCGGAGAAAAGATAAAATAATTGAAACATCGTGGTATTTTGCGCGCAAAGTGAATTTGTAATTCTCGCGAATCGAGCGGTGATGGTGAAAGTAGTATCGCGTAACGAAAGCGACTCCTTTCTATATATAATACAGCGCACGTACGTGAAAGTAAGCTGATATACGCGGCTATATGTGTATATAGATACAAGACGTACCTCGAGATCCTTGATAGCCTCGCCGATTTTCCGGTAAACGGGCAGTCCACCGGTGAGATCGGCCTCGACGTACTGCACCTCGACACCGTAGGCCTGCTTGATCTCGGCGGCGGTCTCCTGGAGCTTGGCGAGCGAGCGCGACACCAGCACGATGTTCATGCCCTTGTTGGCCAGCGCCTGGGCGAAGGCCTTGCCGAGGCCGTCCGTGGCCCCGGTGACCACGGCCCACTTGCCCTGGCTCGGCAGGTCGATCGCCAGGCCCGGCAGATTGGGCGCGATGAGCTTCTTCCAGGCGACGACGCTGAGCTTGACGAAGAGCCGCAGGCCCACGGCCGCCACCACGACGATCGCGATCTTTTCCCAGCACGTTAGCTCGACCATGTTTGCAGGCAGTCTGTGCGTGTGTGTCGTGTCTCTATGGAGTTCAAGTCCGGAGTCTGGGTGGCGAGAAGGAGGAGGATGAATGATTTCGTCAAAAATTAGTATTTATATTTACACACACGCGCATGAGCTTATATAAATATATATCTAAAAATTGTAATAACACACAGCCTATTAATGAGTGAAAGTTCTTGATATTACGGTATTATATATAAAATAATTGCGCAGGTGTATTATATACACACGCTTCAAGACTCCACTGGCACCAGCGACGATTCTTTCCGTGCGAGACCGTATACCACGAGTGCGCGTACAAAATTGTGCCGAATCGCGCGAAGACATTGAAAAAAAAAAGAAGAGTACATTTGCAATTCTTATCGGTGTACGGCAGAGGTCAGTCGCTTTTACAATAGAAAAAAACGGCGCCGATACTCGCTCGCGATACTTACAATAGGCCGGGCCACTGTATTACTTAAACTTTTTCGTACCGTACACTTACTGTGTTGCCGCGTGTCCACATTATTACTTTATCGGACGACTCGGCGAGCGAGAGATATCGCATAGTACTTATGTACATCGATGTATATAATTATTATACGCGAGCGTGAGTAAGCGTTAGATTAGAGCCAAGAGAGAGAGAGAGAGATAATTTCGGAAGTCGATTAGCGAAATTCAGCTTTACCGACGATACGATACCGAAGCAAGAGAAAAAAAGTCGAAATGCGGCGTGTGACTCGAGCGTATTACACTTGTAGGGCTGGGGCGCTGCTGTGCAGGCTAAAGCTCAAGCTCTGCGTTTTGCGCCGAGACACGCTGCTGCTGGGCTTTATTTACGTAAACAACGCACCGCAAGGACGCGAAAGAGAAAATATTCACTTACCAGCTTGAAATCATGTGCAGTGCAGCTCTCTCTCTCTCTCTCTCTCGCTCGAATCTCCGGAGTTTTTGGAGCTAGTGCAGCACCGGCTCTGGGAACAGTTGTTTTCTCTGCGGCTCGATCGTAGCAGCACCGGTGCGACTGCCCAAAGATAGTCGATACGAGAGACGCTTCGTCGTCGTCGCTCTGCTATGCGTGCGTTAACGTGTATGTGTGCGATAGTATCCAACGCGTGCTCCAACGCAGGCGCAATGTCAGGGCTACTACAACACAACTGCCGCCGCTGTCTGCTATAACGGAGTGCGATACGTTGCCTGCCGATCCCCTCCCACAGCGGCTTAGTTGTACACACTGCATAAATGTACGCGCGCGGCGAGTTTCAAAATCGTTCCGTCTTTTTCGCGCTCGTACATTATTATGGTCGTCGTCGGCCGACCGCAGCAGCAACAAGAAAGTTTCCCGTGTGCGCTGCGAAGAAAGTTTTTAAATGTCGTTGCTACCATACTACCACTGCTATACGGGCACGGGGATTTAAGTGGGTTATAGCGATGGAAAGAGCGAACGACCTGTACGCGGGTCCCCCTCTACGGCTCGTCCGTTCTTTCACTCGGCGATGCGTATATGTACGCCGCCGTTGTAGCGTATATAGAGCTTCCTGCTCTTCTCCGACCGTATATGCGTAGCGGATCGCTTCGTAACGTTTATGTATACCCACGTATTTATTCGCATCATATGTGTGTACGTACGACAAGGCTTTTAAAGAGGCAACCTTTTTCACTCGCGAGCTTCCGCGGTGTGCGGGTACACACGATATCGCTGCCAGTAGTAAATGTTGCGGTGCTTCAGGCGCGAATTTTTTTCTTCATACCGATCGCCGTGTCAAAGTTTTGAATATTTTTGCATCTCTAATCTATACCGATATTGCGCTTGTTCTGCTCGATTTCTATTGCGACGCGGCAAAACTAGACAGGCCAACATTTCTCAATCAGTTTCTTTTTTTCTCTATTGTCGCAGATTCCGATTCTCAAGACGACCTGCAGCGAGCCAGGATTCGGTGAACAAATGCAGCAGACGTCGCTGCTGAACTCACCGTCGGCGATCGTCGAACCGAGGACTGCATAGACAAATGCTGCGACGTCGTGCAAAACGACGAGCAAGGGGGACGACTCATCGTGCAACTGCGTCTGATGCAGAGAGGAAGAGAGAAACAAAATTTGAGACAAAAGTCAATAAATGCAGCGTGGACCGTGCACGGCTGTTTACGTTTTTATCGGCTACTTCTCTCTCTGTCTTCTTTCTCGCTATAAAGAGCAACATGATTCGGGCAGCTATATGTTGTTCGTTCAACTCGTTGGGAGAGATGCAAGAATGCAACTAAAACATCTCGGGATTATCTCGAAAAAAAAACGTAAACGTTTCGAGTAATATACACTGCACAACCAAATTATGGCAACAAACATTTTCATCGAAATTTCCAAATGCTTTTATCTTCGTCTATTTTGTAGAGCGCAAAAGTCGTAGAGAGCTCTTTTCATTTTTAAACTACTCGTTGAAGAAGTACTTTGCGATGACGTATGTTAGATTTTGATAAACAAATTACTATAGTCCAGATACACGTTTAAACAATCGTTTTTTCAGTAATTTATAATATTGCGCTCGAATACTATACTGGTAGTTCGTTGACTTAAACCCATTCAAAGCATATATTTATTCGAAGAGGACAAAATTTCCTTATAGTCAAAAAATATCGTCTCGATACGATCAAAATACACAAAGATAGAAGCATTTGAAAATTGACAAAATTTCGATGAATATTTTTGTTGAAATAATTTTTTTACACAGTGTACATCTCATTCATTTTTTTTAATATCGAAACGATATATTGTATTCATAGTTATAAATATTACACCTTACTGGACGATTGAAAAAAAATAAAGTGTTATTTAATAAACTTTTAGCGTATACGTTGTCATTTGTGAACGAGCTTGATGCGTGCTAATGAACTACATAATGAGTTTTCATTTAGCGCTCCAGAGATGGTGCTAATAATGTGTATACTACTGTTGCGAACTCATTAATTGTTTCTTCGTAATAGCTGTTGATATTATTAAAAAAAACGCCTAATATGATTAACGAGCGTTTGTTGTGAATATTTTTATATAATTCGTGAAATCGCGCTGACGACGAATAAAATTTGAAAAAAAAAATTACTCGACACGATGAATCATATCCCCGTAGTCTGTAGTTAAACATTATTAATAATTCATTGTAAATAATGAATCGTCTATTGTTAATTACCGCTCAATCAAAACCTGGCTGTAACGATATCTATGACTTTAATTAATTTAAGAAAAATTTTATTGTCTCCTCTAATCACTTGCGTTGCTCCTCAAGTGCTTGAGATTGATAGTTAATAGTATACATTATATTTTTTATTAATTTTATGACATTTGGAAAACTGGTTCGAACTTGATAAAACAATGTCGATGCATCTTGTCGAATGAAGAACGTTTTTGTTAAAACTTTTATGTCATCATATTGAATTTTACGTCGAAAATTGCATAGTTTTAACTTTTACACCCTCGTATGACAAAGAAAGAATTTGTAGCGAAAATAATTTTAAAAATGGCAAAGCTAACGACGTTTGTTCTCGAAACAGACCAGAGCAGACTATTATAATTAGAGAAAAATATTTTTATGAGTAATCTTTCGTCATTGTTTAACATGTCCAGGGGGCAGAGGAAAAAATTTATCAAATGAAACTCTTTCATGCATATAAATATGATATTATACTAAGCATACTTTCGTCAAAAAATTCTGTGCCATAATTGTAAAGTTTAAAAACAAAGAATTAATAATATCCGAATTATTTCCTATGCATTAAGTACAGCGAGAAAGTAAAAAAGAAAGAAATAAAAATGATATGTTTTATTAAAAAAAATATGAATGCTTCTCGACGTTTCTCTCTTTCGTAAATATTCCACGACGGGGGGGATTTGTGTTTTTCTTCTTTTTTTTATGTTGCAGAGAGATGCAGTTATCGCCCGATTGGCTTTTGGATGTTTCCATTTGGAACCAGTCGCGCGCAGTAGAGAGACTCCGGGGAGAACAGCAATTTGTAAATATTTATTTTGAGTGCTCGCACACAACTTTATTGCGTTTGCGAAGCTCGGGGTTGATTTTACAATTTTTTTTTGCACTTGATATTAAAAACTTTTTTGCATTTTTTTTTTCATTTTTTCCTTTGCTTCTACGATCCGGTGACGGCGACGATTTGCCACGAGCTTGGACTTACGCAGAGCGCAGACTGCCGATCGCAAGGATGCTTCGACAGACGATGATCGAAGTTCAGATCGACAGCGGAGCCTCAGACCGTCGGCCCTCCAGACACACCACTGCTGGCCTAGCTGCCCGTGCCCCAACACTTTTTACTCAAGCGGGTTTACAAGATTGACATTTTTGCTTTGCGGTTGGTTCTCCATAGTTGTCCAGTGCCGTAGGGCTGCGTTCAATAAAATACGATAATGATTATGATTCGTTATTATAAAAAATGCATAAAAAATTTTTTGACTTTTGATTATCGAACATGAAATCATGAGTAACCAAACGACTCAGCTCGTCATAGTTCGTTTGATGTTGTGCCTTATTCAATTTTCATCGAATTACATTATTACAATATTACATTTTAAAAGCTGTTATCAATTCTGGCTGTTATTTAGGTTCGTTTCAATCAATCACGTACCATTGCATAATCAAAAGTTAAACGAATGCCCCATTATAAATAATCAATCACTGAAATGGCACACTGAATGTCGAAAAAATGACGATTTTCAAATGAACCGTTCTTGTTCAATCACAGTGATCGATTTGTCGATAATTCATCAATTCCAATACGACACGATTCGATATCACAACTTTGATCTCGATATGGTACCAACATTTTTGTCGACAAATAATCGATATCGCGTCGTATCGTGCTATACTCGATTCGAAAATTGGACCGATAGAAAAACACATCGCATTCACGTACTCCAGTTGATTAACGAGATTTTCCAGCTTCCGAAGCGGCAATATGTCCATTTTCTGCTTCAACGTCTCTCGGACTCGTCTCTCCATGGGCTTGGCCAGTTGCTCGGTCCTGGCGCTCGTTGGCTTGACGCGTCGAACCTCGCAGCAGGTCGCGCACGGCGAGTCGCGTTGCTTCCTGTCACCGTCGTAGACGAGGTTAGCGTTTTTTTTTTCGTTCATAGGAGCTCTCGAAAATTCACAATCGTAAAACACTCACGGGGTCGCGAGCAAATCCTGATGCTCCTCCCTTCCCAAGAGCTCGCGAGGTATGACTATCGGTATCGAGCACCGCGGCTTGGATCGTTTGCGCTTGAATCCGCAGCGGACGGTCAGGTTTCTCTCCTTCTTGCACTTGATGACCTTGGGCCCGTTGCAGCAGACACCCTTGGCAGGCTGCTCCGGCTTACGAACAACATGCGATCATAATCGTCTTCTCTGTCTCGCTCGCTCGCTGCTACTTACTTCTTCTTGTTTGCAGCAGGTCGGCGGTGGATTTTTGCACGGCGAGTCGCTCGGCTCGGGGTCTCTCCCTATCGTCGGTACTCTTTTCCTCCTGTCGTCGTGTAGGGGTCTATTGAGCTCCAACTCGACCGGCTCGGCGTTCCGCACGTCGTACGGCTGGTCCTCGAGCGGGTGCACGAATTCTTGCGGATCCATTTTTCACCTCGGATACACCGGATCGTCGAGAGCAGCAATAATGGAACACTTGGCGATTTTGCGAGATTTTAATTTGTCCGAAATAAGATCGGAGGATGTGACGGGTATCGAGTAACCTTAAAGGTGGTCGAATGCGTGCGTGTTTGCTCGCTCGCTCGACGTCTCGCTTGAAGTTGCATCTTTTTGTTTTTCCACGCACGTGCGTAAGTACAGTCAAGCCGCATTATCCATTATTTAAACGGGCTCTCTCGCGCGTTATTACTCGTTCTTTCTCGTTGATATTACGGGGGTATTATTGAACGTTTCCGCGAAAAGTCATTGAGTTGTAAAAATTTTTCTTCGAGAGTTTTTTTTTTTTTTTAATGCCTCTCGCGTACTCATACGTGTAGATTAAGCCTTGTTTGTATATTAGAAACGTAATCCCTTGCGCGATGAGGCGGCCCCGGACCGAGCGAGCTTCACAATGAGTCACACGCACGCGTGCTTAACTGCCCCGCAACGTTCGACGTGCGTACAATTACCGATACTTAAAAACAGGATTTTATTATTTTTCTCGCGCGTACACGCTTTTACGAGATAAAAACGTTATCGACTCGTGTATAGAAGCATCGCAGGAAATTATCTCGGCTCGGAGCGCATCGAGTCGAATATACGCGTATGTATGCTTGTTATTGAGATTGTCGAGCAAACGACGAATTCGCAATATATATGAAGCTATAGTGATTGGTGGATGACGCAATTTTTTCGTGAAATTCCCGCGAGAAACTGGAGCGTAGGAATAGAAATAGAAATCATAGGAGAGCACATTATAGATAAAAAAAACATGTAAAATGAGAGAAAAATCATGTTTTTTTACCTATTATGTCCTCTCAAATGATTTCTATTGTTTCAACCATTATCAAACTTGTTCAAAAATTGTATTTTAATGTATCGATGAATATATTTATTTGTTGAATTTAATGCAATTTTCGGTTTTTAATGGGTGAAAAGGTTATGAATATGATTTTTGACAAAAAAATTTAAACTCTTTATCAAATTTAACATTAGAAATCATGTTTCAAAAAATTTTCATATTTACATTTACTAGTACATACTTTTGAAAAGTTCGTTTGAAAAGTACTTTTCAAAAGAATGCATCCAAAATAATCCATCTACCAGCAAATTTATCAAAATTTTTCACTAGAGCATGTTGGATCAATTCAGAGTCGTGTATTTGGTAAGGTTTATTAAAAATCTAGTAGTCAACTAAATGCTTGTCCGATTCGCGATTCTACATGAGAAGCTTCCAAAAAAAATTTTCGGATGATCGTTGCATGCAAGAGCTGGCAGAAATAAAATAGCCAAATAATTCATTGAAAGTAATTATTATTAGTTGCGGAATCTGAAAACCCTACAATGTCAGTGAATAAAGGTGTGATGATAATGGAACGCCCAAGGTTCGAGTAATACGCAATCATATTTAGAAAAACATATGTATGAGTAAATCTACACATATCTACTCATTTTTATAATAGTCAATCATCATTTCTTCTCGCATTTGTCTCAAGCAAAATCCTTGCGACCTTCGTGGACTGCTTTATGGTGTTGAATCAAATGCACTTTTTGTCCAAATTTTTTCTCGCACTTGTAGCATGTAAAATCTTTACGACCTTCGTGTACTTGTCTTTGGTGTCTGAGCAAATGTGTTTTTCGTCCAAATTTCTTCTCGCAACTGTCACATACGAAATCTTTCTTACGTTCGTGGACCGTATTTTGGTGTTTAAATAATGCCGATTTTTCTCCAAATCTCTTCTCACACTTTTCACATGCGTAATCTTTGCGACCTTCGTGTACTATCTTTTGGTGTTTCATCAAATTACTTTGAACCCCAAACTTTTTGTCGCATTTGTCACATGCATAATCTATGCAACCTTCGTGTATTATCTTTTGGTGGCAGAGTAAATTATGTATTCGTCCAAATTTCTTATCGCACCTGTCGCATGTGAAATTTTTCTGATTTTCGTGTACTGTCCTATGGTGGCTCAACAAATGCGATTTGTATCCAAATGTCTTCTCACACTTGTCGCATATTAAATCTTTCCGACCTTCGTGTAATGTTTTTATGTGCACAAGCAAATGCGATTTATATCCAAATTTCTTATCGCACCTATCGCATATGAAATCTTTCTGACCTTCATGTACTGCTTTTTGGTGGTAGAACAAGCCCGCTTTATGTTTAAATTTCCTCTCACAATTATCACATGCATAATCTTTGCAACTTCCGTGTACTGTGTTTTGATGCCAAATTATACTCGATTTTTGTCCAAACATCTTCTCACGCTTCTCGCATGCAAAATCTTTCCGACCCTCGTGTACTGTCTTTATGTGAGCGAGCAAATTTTGCCTTTTTCCAAATCTCTTGGCGCACTTTTCACACAAGTAATCTTTGAAAACGTCGTGGAATATTTTTTTGTGCTTAAGTAAAGTTGATTTATTTTCAAATTTCCTCTCGCACTTGTCGCATGTGAAATGTTTGCGGCTTTTGTGTTCTGATAGTTGGTGTCTACTTAAATGACTTCGGAACTCAAATTTCATTTCGCACTTGTCGCATGCGTAATCTTTTTTTTCATTGTGAATTGTGTCTCGATGTGCTAAAAATTTTGATTCTAGTGTAAATGCCTGTTTACAAATATCACAAACGTATTTTTGGTCGTCCGAAATTATAATGTCAGGTTCACTTGAATTATCTTGAGAAACAATTTCCTCGAATTTCCTCTCACTTTTATCCATTTTGGTGTACAAATTAAGCAATAGTTCCTTCTATTTAGTACCACAAAAATTAAACTAGTAAAACTTATCTTTTGGTATTATGGCCAGAAAGATAACATTCAAACTAATTTGTTTTAACTATTATCATGATCAGTGTGTCGAGGAAATGTGTCAAAATCGTTATTATAAGCTTATTGTTTACAATTGAAGTACCGATTTATCTGTTTATACATTATCCTTATAATAAATATTTAAAACATTTTAAATTTCTCATTCGGTGACGATTCGTTTGAGGATTTTTTTGACCTTTTACAACTGTACTGTAAAATTCAAGCTAGTGCCAAGTATTTTTCGTCATTATTAAAGAAAAAATATTTTGTTTGAGCTTACAAACTGAACATTTTTATTGTAAAAATATCATCACATTAAAAAAATTATGAGTTCATATCTAAATTATATAATTTATAAATTTATAATTATATATACAATTATAATTATATTCTTGCGTTAAATCAGGGTTTCAATTGAAGGTATTATTATTGTGATTCTTATCTTCTTCAGTGAATTTTCAATATCTTTTTTTGTTGAGATTCCGACTTTTTCTTTTTATAGTAAAATAAATCCAACTTACAACAAATAATTGCAAACTTCTACAATTTTTACTGGTCATAAATTCGAATTGGACATTTTAGCTAAGACTATCTGGTCATATCAGGAAAGTTTTGTACTAAGAGTTTTTGATACGACTGATATATCAGACTTTTACCAATTGCACATCTAGCGTTGGCGGACAAATCAGACGGTCGTTATTGGGTAAAGCTAATAAGCTAGGGATCAATAATATTTTGGTAAATTACAAAGCTTGTTATATTCTTTGATTGCTTTGCCTTTTTCACAACGATATACCATTAGATAGTTTTCATTAGCTTCGTTCGTGTGCAACAATATCGCTCAACACACACAACCAGCAATATCCCGATATTCATCCGACATAAATGTATTGTCTTCAAATAATCAATTGTAAAATTAAGAAGCGTGCGTTTTAATGCATTGAATTCTATGGGTCTAGGCCAGCTATTCACACGTTTTTTCATACCCTTACGAATGATATCCCTAAGATTTTTATTTTCTAAATTTTTTTCTTCAACTTCTTCAAAAATAAAGTATTCTTGCAAATTAATGATAGCCTTTGCATTACTTTTAGCATAAAGATATTCTCGAGTTATAAGAAGTGGCTTTGTTTTTTTTATTAGTCGTCAGAACATTTTTATCCTCGATGATAACGAAATTGAAGAAGAACAATTTACGTGTCTAAATATATAGATTGATAAAGAGCACTGATAAAATCGAAAACATTATTTTTTCATGTTGCAATAAGCGATTGAAAATGGCAAAATTAGCGAGTTTTTGACTTTGAATCGCTTATAACTCGAAAAGTATGCATTTTAGAGAAAATTACCAATAGTAACTTCTCTTTAGATTGGTCCAAATTATCTGAAAAAAAAGGTTTCAGGCAAAAAGTTTAAAAATTCTTTATTGGTTTAAAAAAATCGATTTAAACAAATTGGTGCGGGCTAACTCAAAAGTAAGATTGGTCTCCACATTCCGGAGGTCCTCACGGAGGGAATGACGCAAAAATTATCCATTACTCTATTTTTCCACGTTTGCGAGGATATCGTCTCAACTATACGAGAACTCGTGGCACGGTGGCAACGTGCTGACTCCGTATAAGCAAATATATTTAAATTATTCAACTCTATTTAGTATATTATATAAAAGACGAGAAGAATGTAGAGGAGAAAATAATCAAAACGGAGTTGATTCATTTTATTCTTTTTTTATTGATAATCAATAGCAATATTTTTAATTGAATGATTCGCATGTCTTATGTTTTTAAATAATTTTTTACAAAAAATAATTTAACTTTTGTAGTATGTTTGTTGAATATATTACAAGTATTTACAATTCTGTTCCCAACTTTACAATTATTTTTTCACGTGCAGGTCACTTTTTTGCGGTTATGTTTTTCCAATATTTTAATAAACCATTATTTTTCTGATGATACCAAGGAACCATCTCAGCAGTCTTCTCAAAGGATTCGTTGATTTTCGCGCAGGTTGGTCAGATACAGCATCCTTTGGGTTCGCAGAATTTAATTTAGCAAGTTTGGCTATTGTTGCAGTTATTTCTTGAAAAGAAATTGAATCCACAAGTGTTTCATTATCTCTATCGAAATATTCCTTGAGAATTGCATCGATTTTGGCCGTAAGTCGTGCGCATTCCTCTTCTGCTTCCAACAACATGTTTTCTATTTCCAACGTGGCCTGATCAGATGCAGCAACTTCCGGATCCACCGATGAGGATTGAGCCACATTAGATGGGTTTGCAGCAATTTCATTTAAACACAACTCGAACTGGGCCACCACATCTGCGTATTTGAATTTTGCTTCAATATCTATCATTTTAATGTTGAAATTTCCAAATCACTGATTGTCTGAAGAGAGTCCAAAAGAACAAGTCCCAACTACTGCGTTACGTGTGTACTCGGCAGATGATCAACGACGTTTGAATGTCTGCACACAACCTGCTAGTCCGTCCAAGCAGTGTAACACTACACTGAACTTTGGTGCGCACTTGACTCTGGCGCATCAGTTAGGGAATAGAGGTGAAGCGGGTACACTATGTGTAAAACGAAGCCTTTCCCAGCAGAAAACGCAAACAGAGCGAATACGGGGCTCTACCTATGCTAGCCTGTATACTACTATTATTATTGACACGTATGTTATACACGCAGGTGGCCCTCATTAAGCTATGTTTACGTTTTTCTTTGGGAAAAGAACCGTTTTACACATAGTGTACACTATCGATCGCCCACCACAGGCTTAAATTGCTTTCTGTGACTGCGTGTCTATGTTTATTTTACTTCATCTCAATTATTATTTCTTACCGACCGATGGTAAATGTATGAACTTCGAGCGCCACTCACATGATGGTGCTTGTGTAATTTGTCAGTCTCGCGTCTCACCCTACAAAGTGTTCTGACAATGTAACTTCAAGTTTTGCCAATGAAAATTCTACAAACTCAATTCAAACTCGCGCTATCACCAGATAGAGGAGATCGGAGAGACACGGAGCCATAGAAAGCGATCGATAGTGTACACTATGTGTAAAACGGTTC